GTGCTTGGGATACGGATGGAAGGGATACTAGGCTACCAATTTCTGGTTATGTGGATAAGTGGTTCGACACGGGATAGGAATTTAGTGTTGCGTCAGGTTTTTCACCTCTTCCTCATATTACTCCGACTTCTACATTAGATGCATATACACTGTTTAAAGCAAGTAGAAAAGGATCGAGTTGTTTATTTGGAAAGTTGTATGATTGGGAGCAATTAGGTGGAATTGAATTGGGTGTTGATGCCCCTAACACCATTTATCTTGATGAATGTTTCCGGGTACCTAAGAATACTGAGGATCGACATCTTGATAAAAAATTTATGGAGTTCGAGCATGGCCTTGCAGTAAGAGAACTTCTTTCTAATGATGACAAGATGGGAATATCTGGATGTATTGTGTCAGCAAAGTTTGTGCACAAGGTTTTGAAGCAGACAGTGGGGAACCATTTGATGAATGTGCAAAGGCAAAACAAATGGACAATGCTAAGTTCTCCTGCTTATTTTGCTTGCGATATTCTCAGGAAGACTTTTAAAATCCTTTTGCCAAGCAACAATTCTGATTGGAACGTTACTTTGCAACTTCATTCTTATTCCTCAACAGGTTTCATTGTGTATCTCACCTTTTCAAATCTTCCATTTGATCCTGGTATACATGATATTCCTCTACCCTTTGGCTCCAACAAGACTATCTTTACAGATAGTAGTTTTCGTTCTACTTATGATTTAATAGCTACATTTCGGGGTGGACCAATTGATGAGTTTCTAGTTTGCACCTTTGAATGCATCCGAGATGGCGCTACTGATGCTATCAGGAAAACTTGTGTGTTAGTGGGAGCTCAAGTGGTTTTCTGGGATATGAGAGCATTATTGATATTAAATTTATCTCGTAGTGGTGTTGACGGTGAACCTATACTCCCAAAGTTTGATAAAGTTCTTACTGAGCTTTATGCTCTAATTGATGACACATGTGGCGACATTTTATTAGTAAGTATTTTGAAGGCATCGGGGGATGGTTATGTTGGGGTGTTACAATGTTTTGTTTCTGTTGCAGGAGTAGATGTTAGAGTAATTCTTATGTCACCAGACAGTGTTTGTATAATGTGGTTTCTTAATCAAGGCACAGCTCTAGTGCTGTACAGCCTTGTCTTTGGAGAAGGAGCAATGCATGATTTTCCATCACTTGTTCTCTTCACTACAATGCAAAAGCTTGATGTTGGAAGATTCAACAGAGGCTCTGCTGTCCTTGTTAGCCATCTGCTTCTTTATCATTATGGTACTACGAGTATAGCCAGAGAACCAACCATCTCAAAGGATAAGCTTTATTTGTTTTCATTTGAAGAATCTGCAGCAATCCCATTTTTCTGTGCAAAGAATGATTTCTCATGTTGTTTGAAAGAATTTTATTTTTCATCTATTACTATCAGACAAGGTTCAATGCTCACTTACATGAGGCTAATATATTGTGGAGAAAATGCTATAACAGTGTTCATAACTCGAACCTTGATGCGGATGGGAGTATTGTTGTGAACCAAGTTGAGTCAAGAAGGGACTATGGGCCAGAAATGTCAAACGACGCTGATCCAGTTGGGACATTTGGGCCAGAAGTTAAAGTGAGAAAAAGCCCAATGACTAAACACCCGAATGGAATGCTAGGACGTTATATTTGGGATCAAGGGGGAGATACAGGAATGGGAATTATGTTGAAGCCTTGGCTCAGTCTGTTCTTCTCATCTCCTCTGCTGGAACTGTTTCTCATCCCCTTTCTTCTTAGCTTTATGTTGCAATTTCTCTTCTCATCTACTCTCTAATTCCTTTAGTGTTGTTTTCTACTATTGTATTGCTATTTGGTTATTGTGGTTCCTTTTATTGAGTTAATATAATCAGTTGGTTTGGGTGTAATATCCAGTTGTTACAGTTGCATAGCTAAAAGCTTGAAGGGTGACAAAGTCAGTTAGGTGACAGATGTGTATAATAGCAAGTTAGTTAATTAGTTAGTGTTAGGAAATAATTATATATATCCTACGTGTACAGTGATAAAAGGCTGATTAGCCATTGTATTCCTTTTTGCTCTGTAATTGAAGATCATTTTCTTCCAGAATCTTCTTCTTCTCCCTTCTTCGATTCAACCTCAACCTCAATTCTCCACCCTCTAATGGTGGATTTTATCATGATATCAGAGCTTGAGTGATTCGATCGAGGACAGAGCATAGATTTTTATACTGTGAGTTCATAGTTTTTTCTTCTTGAGTTGAAATCAAGCTCAATCGAAGCACAACAATGGCAAATTTAGATATTGATAATCCTAGGAATCCACTATTCCTACAACCGTCGGATAATCCTAGCAATGTGATAATTTCAATTCAGTTGAAAGGAACAGAAAACTACTCCGTCTGGAGTAAGGCTATGGTGATTGCGCTGCGAGCGAAGAGAAAATTAGGGTTTATTGATGGAAGCTGTACAAAATCTCAGTTCGCTGAAGATCTAGGCGAGGACTGGGAGAGAGTTAATGCAACAGTGTTGACATGGATCATGAACACCGTATCTCCAAAACCGGTAAATGGCATTGTGTACGCTGAAAATGCTAATGAAGTCTAGCTAGATTTAGAAGATCGATTCAACAAAGCCAATGGTTCTAGAGTCTACAATCTAGAGCGAGAAATAGCCACAATTTCTCAAGGTACCTCTAGTATCTCTGTCTATCATTCTAGGTTGAAGTCGTTATGGGATCAATATGGTTCTCTTATACCCTCACTTCCAGTTATTGCTGGCACTAGAGACTTTATCGAACACTTAGAACAACAAAAGCTTTTCCAGTTCCTAATGGGATTAAATGAGTCATATGGAGCTATTAGAAGTCAAATTCTGCCGCAATCTCCATCACCTTCTGTTAGTCGTGCATTTGCAATGCTAATAAATGAGGAGAATCAAAGGAAAGTGTGTGTTTCTAATTGTCAGATTAGTTTAGCAAATGAAATGAATGAATCTACGGTTTTCATGAGTACAAGAGGAAATCAGTCAAGGTTTAAAAGGCAAAGTGATTTGTATTGTGAGTATTGCCACTTCAAAGGCCATTCAAAGGATACTTGTTACAAGCTACATGGATATCCACCTGGATACAAAGAGAAAAGACAGCAACAGTACAAATAGGCAAATGCAGCTGTGAATAGCAGCAGTCATGCTCAAGAGAATGCTATAAATAAAGAAAAAGCTGAAATGCCTCAAGGAATGTCAAACTTCTTCACTGAGGAGCAGTATGGCAGATAATAAAGTTGTTGAACAAGGACAAAGCAGAGGAGCACACAGCTAATATGGCAGGTAATGATAATTCAAGTTTGTTGAAAGACTGTAGGGATCCTTGGATTATAGACACTGGAGCAACAGATCATATGGCTTCAAACTATAATATGTTGGATGATATAGTAAAGATGCCTGAAAATAGGAGATGTGATGTTAGCTTGCCAAATGGTAAGTCAATCCCCGTTACTTATCAAGGCAGGAGATGATACTATACATGACATGCTATGTGTACCTGAATTTAAATACAATTTGTTGTCAGTCTCTAAGCTGACAAGAGAGTTGCAATGCTCAGTGAATTTTTTCCCAACAGTAGATGATCTTTTCCCCTTAGCAACAGTAGAGCAAGTGATGTTTTTCAATTAGTTCATGCAGATATTTGGGGTCCATATAGAGTAACATACAATGGGAACATATATTTTTTAACACTTGTAGATGATCATTCCAAGATGATTTGGGTATTTTTGATGAAATTAAAGAGTGATACTGTTGTTCTGTTGAAATCATTCTTTAAACTTGTGAATGTGCAGTTTGGAAAGACAATTAAGGTGTTAAGGTCAGATAATGGTGCAGAATTTTTTAGCAAAGAATGTCAGGATTTCTTATCTAGTTTTGGAGTTCTTCACCAAAGTAGTTGTCCATATACTCCACAGCAAAATGGAGTAGTGGAAAGGAGGCATAGACACATACTAGAGGTGGCAAGAGCATTGAGGTTTCAGGGGAGCATCCAATTACATTTCTGGGGAGACTGTGTGCTAACAGTTGTTTATCTTATAAATAGGATACCTTCCTCAATTTTGGGGAGCAAGTCTCCTTATGAGGTGTTTCATAAGTCCAAGCCAAGTTTGCTACATTTGAGGGTATATGCTGCTTATGTTATGCCACAGTCACAGAGAAAGTTGACAAATTCTCACCTAGAGCTGTGGCAGCAGTTCACATGGGATATTCAGGCTCTCAGAAGGACTATAGGCTGTATGATCTCAAGGCCAAGCAATTTTTTGTAAGCAGAGATGTGAAATTCAAGGAGAACATCTTTCCTTTCCAGTCGATGAAGAGAGGTGTAGACTTGCCATTATTTCTGGAGATTAATGATGTTCAAGAAGACATCTCAAGGGCAACTGCACCAATAGTAGATCAGGGAACAGTTGGAACTGATGCTGGATAGGATACAACTACCACAAATGATTCTTCACTTGCTGACCCAGCCTGTGATACTCAGTCTACAGCAGCCAATGATCATAACTCTGAAGGACCACTTCAGCATGATGTATTGCCTATAATTGCTCCTGTTGAACCAGTTCCACTAAGGAGATCTTTAAGAGATCCAAAATCACCAACTTGGCTGAATGACTACATTTGTCCAGGGAAGACTAGTTCATACTCCAATTGCATTTATCCTATGTCCAATTACTTAGATTACTCCTCTCTTTCACCAAAGTACCAATCCTTCTTAGCTGCTACTTCTGAGGCAGAACCTGCTTCTTATGTTGAAGCTATGCAGGACCCTCGATGGGTTGAAGCTATGAAGACAGAAATTGATGCCCTTGTCCTCAACAAGACATGGGAAGTAGTTGAGGTACCCAAAGGAAAGGCTGTAGGTGGGTGTACAAGATCAAGTATAAGTCCAATGGGGAGATTGAAAGATTCAAAGCCAGATTAGTCGCAAAAGGTTATAGTCAGCAAGAGGGATTGGACTACCAGGAAACATTCTCTCCAGTAGTTAAAATGGTCATAGTTACGGTGGTTATTGCCCTTGCAGCCATGAACCAATGGAATCTCTATCAAATGGATGTCTATCATGCTTTCCTTCAAGGTGATCTTGAAGAAGAAGTTTATATGCAACTTCCACCAAGTTTTGGTAGTCAAAGGGGAAACAAGGCATGTAGACTACACAAATCCTTATATGGACTTAAACATGCTTCAAGACAGTGGAATCTAAAGCTCACTGAGGCACTGATTACTGCAGGCTTTACTCAGAGCAAACATGACCATTCTTTGTTCACTTTGAGAAAGAATGCTAAGCTTGTCATCATCCTTGTTTATGTTGATGATCTCCTTATCACAGGTGATGATGCTGATATGATTCAAGAAGCTAAAACAATCCTTCATAAGGCATTCAGAATCAAGGACTTAGGTATTTTGAAATACTTCTTGGGAATTGAAGTCAGCAGATCCCAAAAGGGTATATTATTGTGTCAAAGAAAGTATATGGTGGAACTAATTGCAGAATTGGGCTTGGCAGGGTCCAAACCTGCAATCACTCCAATGGAGCAGAACAGAAAGTTGACAACAATGGAATATGATACACATTGCAACTTGAAGGATGATCCAACACTCACAGATGTCAAAGGATATCAAAAGCTCATAGGGAAGCTTTTGTACTTGACATTAACTAGGCCTGATATAGCCTATACAGTACAGACTTTAAGCCAATTCATGCAGGCTCCTAAGAAGTCACACTTAGAGGTAGCACATAGATTAGTAAGATACCTGAAGAATGAGCCAGGATTGGGCATTCTAATGAGTGCAGACGGTGATATGACTCTAAGAGCATACTGTGATGCAGATTGGGCAAGCTGTCCAAATTCAAGAAAATCAGTAACAGGTTACTTGGTGAAATTTGGGAAGTCCTTAATCTCATGGAAGTCAAAAAAGCAAAGTACAGAAGTTCAGCAGCAAGAAGTTCAGCAGAATCAGAGTATAGGAGCATGGCATTAACAGTGTCAGAATTAATTTGGTTGCTAGGAGTTTTCAAGGAGCTGGGAGTTGAATTGCCTACTTCAATTCAGTTTTTCACTGATAGTAAAGCAGCAATGCAGATAGCAAGCAATCCAGTATTTCATGAACGAACTAAATATATAGAGATTGATTGTCATTTTATAAGAGAAAAGGTACATGAGGGATCGATTCAAACTATGTATGTTCCTACAGAAGAACAGGCAGCAGATTTGTTGACTAAGGGTCTTGCAAGTGTTCAACATCACCATTTGATGTGCAAGCTAGGTGTTTTGAACATTTTCATGGCACCTAGCTTGAAGGGGGGTGTTGAGATGGTTAAAGTGACAGGTGGTGACAGTTGCACAGCTGAAAGCTTGAAGGATGACAAAGTCAATTAGGTGACAGCTGTGTATAATAGCAAGTTAGTTAATTAGTTAGTGTTAGGAAATAATTATATATATCCTACATGTACAGTGATAAAAGGCTGATTAGGCATTGTATTCCTTTTTGCTCTGTAATTGAAGATCATTTTCTTCCAGAATCTTCTTCTTCTCCCTTCTTCGATTCAACCTCAATCTCAATTCTCCACCCTCTAATGGTGGATTTTATCAAGTACTATAATAATAAAATTGTAACTAAAATAACTAATTTCAGCGCTGATATTAGTCCAATTGTTCAAAGTTGAGATTCAAAGAATAGACAACAAAAGCACACTTCTCTGGCTTCATCCGTGAAGTGTAACCCCCGACCCCCACCCCCATCACTTCATATCACTTCATCGCTTTAAGCAAGGAAAGCACCACTTCAATTTGGTAGTATTAAGGCGTTTTCAATATTTCCTATTCGGTAGAGAATGATCATCCAGTCATCTTCAAATACAAAAACATCAAATTAACATGCACATTTCATAATAGACTGTACACAGGCCCTATTCCAGAATGACGAAGCCTACAAATCAAGCGCGAACCTTAACTAAAATAAATCCTATACAAGGCTCCTGGCTGATCTCAAGATATGTATCACTGGTGATTGTCTAAGAAAATGTATCTGGATGTTCACTATCCTAACTCCTATAGTAACAAATAGCCAACCAACCTGACTTTCCTCCAATAAGGTAGGAATGGGCAAGGCTTCTGCACAAAAACAGATGCCAGCCGTTGACATAAAGGCTCCATCAATTCAAACATGGACAAAAGCATGGAGCCCTCAAAATGATGTTCAATCCTCAAGATTTTATACCAGCCATCCATGGAAACAAACCTTCCTGTTTCATGGAAGAAAAAGAGAAGAAGAGTTGCATTGTGGTATTAGGAGCCCATTATTACACACTCTAAATTCAAATACAAGCAAACAAAAATAAGCGAGAAATAGAATCGCTACCCTCTCAGTGGTGTCAAAGCTCTTCTTGTCTCAGGCCAGAATCAAATCCCCAGAAGATTCAGAATCATAATAATCATCATATTCATAATTCTGCTAATAAGAAGACAGCAAGTCAGCGATATGTGCATCATCATTGTGATTCAATATGGAAAAGAAATCAGCTAAAACCAAAAATCTAGAGGAAACTAGAGGCAAAGGAACGTACCCAATCGTACTTGCCAACTTCAGCTGAATCCGCCTCGTCGTCCGCCTATAGATGCAAACATCATTTACAGTATTCTAAAACTTGTACTTGAAAGTTAAACATCTAATTGAGGAATGCAAAAGATAAGAGGGACCAAATGCATTATCGCAGACAAACTAACTTATTATTCATCAAGCATGCCACAGAAGAAACCTTTCAAAAATTAAAGACATATAAATATCCTGATAGATTCAGGAGATATAAGAAGCTACTGTCATTTACAGTATCCAGAAACTTGTTTTTCAAAGTAAAGCATCAATGAGGAATCAGAAAGATAAAAAACCAAAAGCATTATCCTTAAGGAAATAATTACTTATTAAGTAGATCATAGTATCAAATTTTTTAAAAAATTACAAGGAAATAATGTAGAGAGAGAAACTAAATACATAAAAGAGCATGATGAGCTCTAGATGTAAAACTTCCACCGTTGAAGTACCATTAAGTCTCCGGATGCCTTCAGCAGATATAAGAATCAGTAATTGAGTTTCTAGTTGGAAAGCTAGAGGCAGAAATGTTCAATTAGATCATGATCTTAGGCAAATGTGTATTCGCAAGAGATACCAGTATGTTTGCTCGAGAGACTAATAAAATTGCAGATAATGGGGAGGATGAACACAATTTTGGAATATGAACTATGTTTATCATTGACATGATTCGATTGTTTATCTAATGTCAATTAGAAATCAATGCCCTCTCCTAGAAATTACTGGGTAACAAAAAATGTAATTTTATCATGTTTGCATTCCCTGAAGCAAAAAGCGTGCAACTTCCTAAAAGAGAAAGAATTTTCAGTTCAAAAAAACATAAGAAATTCAATCAAGGCTGAAATTTGGGAATTTTCGAAGGACATTTAGCCCTGTACTATACAAACAAGGCAATATTTTTATTCAAAAATGCATCACTAGCCAGCAGAGTCCATTTAGGAGCACAATATGAAGAGTGGCAATCAATGATCATCCAAGGAATATGCAATAGCAGCATTACAAAGAAATGTAAAATGCTGATTACCCTCCATTGCATATCATTCTCCTCTCTGCGCAAAAGCTTCAAGTATGCAAGATTAATTTTATCGGCTTTCATGAAGTACAAGAACCTCTCCTGAAATAAATAAAGGAGTTTGTCAACCACAAAAGTAAACACTTCAATGAACAAATGATGATGGACAATGATTAGCTAGCGATGTGTGATTATAGAATATGGACAATAGTTCAAACAGAAACGGCTAAAAGTACTAAATAAACTACCTCACGGGTCATATTTTTCCATGTCTCAAAACCTTTCTTATCCACTTCTAACTCATTCCCGTCCATGTTTGTCTTCACAAGTTCCTCCCTGCAATACCAAACACATGAGGCCATGGAAGGGCGGAGCTACAACGAGCAAAGAGTGGGCAGCTGAACACCATTAACCGGGAGAATTATATTGTATATATAGGTCAAATATTACTGCTTAAATCTTGAACACTTTTAGCGAAAATCCTGCTTCACAAAATGAGTCCATGACCAACTTAAGACCATGATTTTATTAATATGAAATATCTCCCACTAGGTAATATGGTTTTTTAATGTAAGATTTGGCACGCACTGAATATATTAAACAGGCAGAGCTAAACTCATAAATACGATTGAGAGTTACTAAACAGAGGAATAAGAGCGAACTTACATGAAAACTCGAAAAGCTGATCTGGGTTGGTCAATTTTCCTCTGCTCCTTAACAACGCTTACGCTCCTGGGTCCGCATTTCAATTTCTTAATATCCTTTCTGGGTTCACATTCGTGCATGTCAGCCAATGCGACAGCCACTGAAATGCCACATATTTCACTGCGATGTATAAATACTCGCATTAATAGATACACATTTAAGAACCCCATATAGATTAGAAGTCGGAGTAAAGTGGGGGAAGCAAAGAAAAGAAAGGGAAAGAATACCATTTTTGAAAGGCACTGCCGTCGGGACCACGACGTATTTGGATACCGTGGACCCTTTTCCTTGTTCTAGCTTGATACACCATTGAATCCAAAGCCAACCTCTTAACTTCGATTTTAATGGAAGATTGAAATTGCCACTAATATGGCTATAAGGGCCAAAATTTAGACTAACATGCGCCTGGGTGTAGGATAACGCCTTTGCTTAATGCTTAGGGGAGTAGTAATTAAGGAGTGGAGGGACACGTCCCCATTAATTAGGGGTACATTTTAGCGGGACGAGGGGATTTTCTAATAAGTGGTGCAGGCATTTCTAATAAGTGGTGCAGGCGGGGACTTGAAAAGTGTCTATAATGAAATTGAAGCGCCTTTTAGAAAAAGGTCAAAGATTTCCCGCGATGACTCAAAAATGGGGATTGTACGGACCTATATGGAAATGACACGTAAAAAGTGAAGCTGCGTGATCTTGGGTAAGTGGGGTCGTTTAGTTCAAATTCTTATTATAGATAATCTCACACTCTATATGATATTTGATAATTCTATGATTTTAGTATAAATTTTATCTTTATTTTAGCTAGTACTCATTACTCACTATATGGGTCAAAATTCGGCTTAGGAAATTAGGCGTGGGAAGATCGTTGAGTGAGAAGACTGTGTTTCGATTTGGGCGGCCAGGACGAGGTCGACCAAAGCCCAACAACGAGCAGTCGTTAAGCAAGCCTGTTTACCTCGAAAATAGTAACAATTAAATTTGATTTGTGGTTTTAAAGATATGTGATTAGTCTAATACTAATTAATAATCAAGAAGTATAGCATATAAATGAAAGAAATGAGTAAATCAAACCAGTGTTGCTAGGCAGTATCGACCCCAAGCCAAAGTGACCTCGAGATGGACCAAGAACAATAAAACAAGAATAATAAAGCTAAAGGACAATTCTGATGAACAATGAGCGAAAAAGTAAGAGAGTATATTCTTTTCCAATGATTAGATGATGTTTACAAATGATTGGGGTCCCCTTTATATAATAGGGGAACCCTAAATAAGGTACATTTTTATTTACAGTAAAGAATCTTATCGGGACAGCTGTCTAACCGCCTAGTGTGGATTCGTACTAGGTCGTACGAATAAATTTCGGAATTTACGCCACGATCTTAGGGACGTGGCGGGAATCTTGTTCTTCTATAACAAACTCATAACGACTCTATCTTAGGGTTGGTCATACTTGGCTTTGGTACTCGTCGTGCGCTCTGATCTTTGACCCTTACGTTCTACCCTCGAACCCGGTCCATACTGAGCTTACCCATTGATTCGAGCCTTTTGTTCCTCGATGCGAGCTCTTGAACCTACAAAATAGGGGGCACATGATTTTACCATATACAGATAGTCCCCACGTTTCTTAGAGTAAAATGATAAGAAACGATTTGAACCTCGATTTTCGGAGCCCTTGATGTTGACGTCATCCTCGTG